AAAAAAAAAAAAAAAAAAAAAGAATTAAAGGTTTTGCCTCTCTTAAAGGATTTTGAAGATATTTTGCATGACATACAAAGTTATTAAACATACCATTAAATATATTAATTTTGTGCTTATTTGCAAACCATTCAATTTGATTCTATAGTACTTCCTGTTTGCTGACTTCTTAGAGTTTTCTCATTGTGTTAAATTTTAAGTAAGCCTATACCTTTTTCTTTGTTGTTGTCATCAGCAATGGAGTTTAACGTGTATAGTTTGGAAGGAGATGGAATTGGAAAATTTTTAATTGCGATGGCTGCCACAGGATTTATTTTCTTCCTCTTGATTTTCCTTCTGGAGACCACTTTATGGAGAGTTAGAGCGTTTGTGTTTCGCTATATTTTCTTTGGTATCTACAAGAAACTTAATAAGGTGAGTACCTTATCTCTTAGGTATCTCTAAGAACAAAAGCACATCTCTACACATGCCTGACTCCATTACTGGATATAGGAACATAAATCAATCCATGTTGATTGGGATCCATGGGAATCAGAGATCTTCATCATAATTTGAACTTTGTGGTTTCTAAACATTATGGCCTCTACTAGTTAGAACATGATATTTTTTACAGTTTGATTATGATAGAAAGCTTTCCCTTGAACATCTCCTGTGTCAGAAAACCATTCCCTCCCAAAACTGCCCATTCACCCTAATTTGGCCCCTGGATAGTTCTAACAAACTCCCAAGTGATATTGATTTTGCCAGCCTGTAGAATGCATATTTAACAGTAAGGTTGTACAGCAGTTGTTCTCAAACTTTGGCATTTATCAGAATCTCCTGGAGGGATTCTTAAAATACAAATTGCTGGTCTCTGTTCCATGAGTTTCTGATTTAGTGGATCCGAGGTAAGGCATGAAAATTAGCACATGTACTACATTCCCAGGTGATTCTTCTGCTGCTTCTCCACACTTTGAGAACGACTGTCTGAAGTATTTTCAGATGAAAGAATATTTTGAGGCAAAACAATCCTCTCTGTTACCAAAATAGATGAAATTTCATGACTCTCCCATAAGCTAAGACCTCAGTCCAAATTCTTGCCGTTCCAGTGTGGTTTTTCTTCACATTGTACAGCACAGGTCTGTCTCCATGGTATTCGAGACTCAATGTGTATGATGAAGGAATGAATGATGGCACTAAGTGAGACATGAAAGACAGAGAGTATCCAGGATGTGCCTTTAGAGGTGGGACAGATGCTGAGCAAAGGCCCAGCCCTGGTGTCATCAGTGGAGTCAGCACCTGGTGTCCAAATCTTATGAGAGTCTCCCATTCAACTGAGCCATTAATCTACAAGATTGAGTACAGTTTCCCAATGGATGGGAAGAGCCCAGGGACTGGAGAGTCAGGCCAAGTGAGCAAGCCAACAGCTGGTTAGCACTAGCAACATTGCTCATAGGAAGCAAAGTTCAATGCTCAGGGCTGAGGTGGTCATACATTCCAAAGATGTACCTCAGGCAGCTACTATGTGCCTGGTACCACACTAGATGCTGGATAGGACTCGGATTTCTGAGAGGGGTCCAGGAGGAGCAAACAGATCCCCAAACTTGGAGGAGAGATGAAAGGAGACCTCCATAGAGATGAAAGAGAAAGGGCTTAGGACAGGGGCCAAATCAGAGCTCAGACAAATACCAGCCAAAGAAACATGTGCTCTGATAAAAGGAAATATAAAATGCTGGAAATACATCTAGGTGTCACCAAAACAAGCTTTAGGCATTGGGTGACACTTGAGGAAGTGAGTTCATGGCAGAGAGGTCAACTTACGCACAGACAAGGATGTGAGAAACATTCAAGGAGCGATTCAGCACGTCTGGAGCCAAGTCCAGGTGTTGGCAGGCAGAGCAAGATGACTGTAAAGATGCCGGGCGCCAAAGCAGGGAAGGCCTCACAAGTACCAGGCTAAGGATCTTGAACTTCATTCTGAGGGCGATAGAGAGTCATGGGAATGAGGAATTCATTGGCAAAATTATCTGGACTTGGAATTTGCTTTGAGGTAAAGCTTGTAACAACAGTTTCAAATTATATGACATTGGAGTATGCAGGGTTTCTATTCTTTTCTCATTTTGTACTTTTCAAGGAATGTGTCAATTTCATCAAAACCATCAAACATATTGACACAAATTTGTTTACAATATCTTTTTATTTTTGCACTTAATATCTATTTCTATTTGTAGGTTTTCTCCCCCCCACCACCTTTTTTTCTTAATTACCCTTGCTAGGGTTTTAACCAATTTTATTAATCTCTTCAAGGAACCCACTTTTGAATTTTTGACTTCTCTGTTACATGTTTTATTTTCTTTTTTTCATTGATTTCTTTTCTTACCTTTATTTTTCTGTCCTACTCTATTATGAGCCCATAATAACATTGAGACTAATACCTAAAAAGAATATTATAAAACAGAAAAATTACAGATGAATCATGCTTATGGACATAGATGCAAAAATCCTTCACAAAAATATTAGCAATGACCTGGTAAGATTTATTACAGGAATGCAAGGATAGTGAAACATTTTAAGATCAATCACCACACTAATAAAATGTAAATCACTATATTAATAAGAAAAATGAGAAAAACATTGCTATCACCATTTCTATATAATAGTTTACTGCAGGTATTAGTGAAATAGGGCAAGAAAAAGAAATGATAGGCATAAAATTCAAAAGGCATGTAAAATTCATTATTTACAAATGGCAGGAGTGTACATAGATAATTTAAAGGAATAAAGTACATAGATAATTTAAAGGAATAAAATATTAGAATTAATATCGCTAAATAAAGTCAGCATAGAAAAATCAGTTATAGATCTATTTAAAAGCCACAAACAAAAAGTGAAATGTAAAATGATGCCATTTGAATAGCAAAAAATCAAAAAATACCTAGGAATAAATCTAACAGAAGTTATGCAAGGCTTTTACATGGAAAATTACAAAACACTATTGAGAGATTAAAGAAGACCTATATAAATGAAAGTATATACCATGTTCTTGCTGGGGAAACTCAGTAATGGGAAGATGACAGTTTTTTCCCAAATTGATCTAAAGAATCAACGCAATCCCCATCAAAACTCTAGTGGGTATTTTTGTGCATGCATGTGTGTGTGTGGAAAATGATCAGCTGATTCTAAAGTTTGCATGGAAATGCAAAGTGCCAAGAATAGCCAAGGAAATCTTGAGAAAGAAAAAAAGTGGTAGACTTATACCACCAAATATAAGTATTTTTTTATAAACTATAGTAATTAAGACAAATAAAACAATGTGTCAGAGAGAATAGCTTTTCTTCAAGTGTAGTTATCTACATCAGCTCAGAAGTTTTTAGAAATGCAAGTTCTTGGGTCCTACCCCAGACCTACTGAATCAGAAATTGTGGGATTGGGACCCAGCATTCTGTGTTTTAACAAGCCGTCCAGGTAATTCTGGTGCATGCTAAAGTTTGAGAACAAGTGGAGTAGAATGTCCAGAAATAGATGCACAAAATATGTGGTCACCTGATATATGACAAAGTTGACACACAATGCAGTGGAGAAAGGATTTTCTTCTCAATTAATGGTGCTGATTCAGTTGGATATCCACATGGAAAATAATGAACTTTGAGTCCTTTCTTACTCCATACAGATGGTTTGTCGATTTATAACTTTTCCTGTAGATCTAAATGTAAAAGGTAAAACAGTAAAGCGTTTAGAACAAAAACATAGGAAATATTTTCATGATAGTGAAGGCATCATTATCAAAAGATATCATTAAGTGAGTGAAAAGGCAAGTCACAGAGTGGAAAAAAGATTTTTGAATTGCAAATCTATAAGAAAAACGCAGACAACCCGATTTAAAAATGGGTGAAAGACTTTGACACTGACTTTACAAAAAAAAGAATATCCAAATATCCAATAAACATATGTAAAAGTGCACAACATTATTAGTTATCAGTAAATGCAAATTAAAGCCAATGAGGGACACCACAATGAACACATAAAAATACTGAGTGTTGAGGATGCAGAACAACTGGAACTCTCAAACACTGGTGTTGGGAATATAAGTTGATACCCCTTTAGAAAGCTGTCTGGCATTATCTTCTAAAGCATTATCTTCACATGCGTATGAAAATGTGCATACACTAAGACCCAGAAGCTCCCCTTTCTAGTTTAAATCCAACAGAAACAGACATTCATGTTCACCAAAAGACATTTACAAGAATGTTCACACAGAATTATTCATAATAGACCAGAAAAAAAAAAAAAAAGAAGGAAGCAAACCATACGTCTGTCAATAGTATAATGGATTTAAAAATGTCTATTCTTGGGGCTGGCCCGGTGGCGTAGTGATTAAGTTTGCATGCTCCACTTTGGCGGCCCGGGGTTCACGAGTTCAGATCCTGGGCAGGGACCTACACACTGCTCATCAAGTCATGCTGTGGTGGCATCCCGCATACAAAATAGAGGAAGATTGGCACAGATGTAAGCTCTGGGCCAATCTTCCTCACCAAAAAAAAAAATAAAATAAAATGTCTGTTCTCACAATAGAATACAGCAATGAGAAGGAACAGCCTGTAACTCATATGCAACAGCATGCAATAATCTCACAAACATAACAATGCCCCAAAGAACCCAGACACAAAAGAGTATATAAAGTAGAATTCCATTTATATAAAGTCCAAAAACAGGCAAAACTAATATATAATAATATATATGGAGTTACAAGTCAGGATTCTAGTTACTGTTGGGGTAATGTTCTGTTTTCATTATCAGGGCTTGTTATGCAGGATATATGTTATGCTTAAATAAATAGTTCACACTAAAAATTGCATTAAAAGTATTCACCATATTTTGCTCTAAACTTGAGTAAGATCTGTAGTTAACAGAATTGAACCAATGTTAATTTCTCTGTTTTGATCAATGTACCACGATTATGTAAGATGTTAACATTAGGAGAAGGCTAAAATGTATACTGGAACTGTCCTATCTTTATAACTCTTTGGTAACTAAAAATTCTTTCAAAATAAAAAGTTTAAAATTAAAAATGAATGACATACAAGTCTTAGAGTAGTCTTTAATGCTCTTTCCACTATGTGGCATGCCCTACCTCTCTTCTTCTTTCCCCAGGGTAAGTCTCCTGATGAACTCCTATTTTTTTTTTTAAATTCAGCTTAGACCCTTCTTTCCTATGTGAAATTTTCTATGGATTCCACTCTTCCTCTCAGAAAAGAGAGTTAATCTTTCGCTACTCTCAGCTCTATTGATATCTTGTAAAATATACATTATTAACAAATAACATTTGTTTATAATTAATAGTTCTTGTTATGGTTGCAGTTTTTGATGAAGTATCCATTTTGATAAGAACAAGCTACTTGCTCATGACTAGGAGTATAGATTTTAAACTTTGGAAATAGGAATAAGTTTATGCATGAGAGCTGAGGTGATATGCAGGAAGTCTTTTGGGAATGAATCAAACCTTCTGTTTTGACATCTTTGAGATTATCCCCCAGTTTAGCCTTCTGGAAGCCAACCAATATAAACCAATTATCTAAAGGGCATCCATCTCTATGATTCTTATTTTGAAAATATAGGATATAGTGTCCAGGGAATTATCTGGGGAATCTGAAGATGAAGATGTACAACATGAAAGAGAGAGAATCCTGGAGCACCCTCAGGAGTTGCTGAATTCCACAGTGCTTGTAAGGGAACTCACAAAGGTATAATGTTATTCAGTGACCACCTTATGATGGTTTCATTCCTACTAAAGAGCGTGTCATTAGTGTCAAGGGCTCACTGTGGTTCTTGGGGACCTATGTGTATTCTCCCAATAGAATAGCAGAATTCTTGTGAAACTGTCTGAGGTAATCGTCCATAGGATGTCTGATGTATTGTTTGCATTTGACCTACAACTGTTCTTTACTATATTGTGTTTTCTGTATTTTTTTAAGATATATTTTACATGTCCAGCCATTTGGGCTGTGAGAAATATCTCTGTTGCAATCCAAAAGGGGGAGTGCTTTGGATTGCTTGGATTAAATGGAGCTGGAAAAACTACTACTTTCCAAATTTTGACTGGAGAGGAGACTGCTACCTCTGGGGATGTGTTCATAGAGCACTTTAGTATCACCAACAATATCCTAAAGGTAAGACACTATTACTATCTGAGATGTGAGAAGCATGATGACTTGAGAGTGAAGGGAAGAGGCAAGTAGTGGGAGATGATAGATAGGAATCATGGTAGCATTGATATTGATACTGTTGACTCAGCCAGTGGATTCTAGAGACAGAAATTTTTGAGGGGAGGTGGTGAGGCAATAAGAGCGGCCTTACCCTGAGAATCTAAGACAAGATTGTCTTTAGTGTTCTTTGAAACTATTGGAGAGCAAGATGGTAGAATAGGAGGCTTCTGACTTTCCCTCCTTCCATGGATTCACCGAATAAACCACCACACAGGGATCGATTCCCTCTGAGAGAAATCCAGGAACTAGTTGAGCAACTCCCACACACCACACAACTGAGAAAATACCCACATCAAAATGGGTAGGATAGCTGAGACACACTTGCACCATAAACCCCACTCACAACACAGTGCCTTACTGTTAGGAGAGAACCCACAACTCCCAGCTTCTCCCTGAGGAGTGAAGGGTTTGGACCACACATCTAGCTCCTCAACTTTTATAGCTGCCATCCAAGGGACTGGCTCCCAAATCACCTAGCTCTGGGGCCTGACAGGTCATGGCATTCATGAGTCCCCCCGGACTTCAGAGAACAAAAAGGCAGTTTCAACAGGCGCATAAGCACACCCAGTGGCTATTCCCCGTGGTTTAGCACAGAGCAAGTAGGCAAATATACTCAGCTCCCAGTTTCTTGCCAGAAGAGGCTAGACTGTATATCTAATGTCCCAACATTCCTACCTGCTGCCCAAAGGTTGGACTTCAAATTAGCCTTCATCTGGGAGCTGATGGCACAAGCAATTAGTAGTCCTCTGGGAGCCTGAATGGGTGTTTGAGCACTTCCTCAGCCTTCAGGGCACTGACAGGACTTGGCACACCCTAATCTCCTAGGACCACTAAGACAGACGATGGTTTGGACAAGCACAAGGGTTTAAGATGCCCTGAGAATCTCTGGTCAGGCTGATTGGTGATTTCATCTGCTACACAAGGCCAATCTGTCTAGACTTAGAGAGTTGGCTGTTTTATCTAATGCACAGAAACCAAGACGGAGAGTCAGGGGAAATGAAGAGACAAGGAAATACGTTCCAAATAAAAGAGCAAGATAAATCTCCAGAAAAAGACTCTAACAAATGGAGATAAGTGATTTATCTGACAGAGAATTCAAAACAATGATCATAAATATGCTAACCAAGTTCAGGAAAAAGTGAGAATTTCAACAAAGAGATAGAAAATACATTAAAATACCAAACAGAAATCATAGATCTGAAGTCTTTCATCTCCTTGGTTAATTGCTAATATTTTATTCTGTTTCATGCTATTGTAAATGGAACTATTTTTGTTATTTCCTTTCAGATTTTTCATTGGTATTGTACAGAAATGCAACTGACTTTTCACATGGACTTTCTATCCTGCTACTTTGCTGAATTCATTTGAACCTATTTGTTTGAACCTATTAGTTCTAACAGGGTTTTTTTGTGGAATCTTTAAGGTTTTTTAAGTGTAAGATCGTTTCATGTACAAACAGAGATAATTTTACTTCTTCCGTTTTTATTTGGTTGCCTTTTCTTTCTTTTTCTTGCCTAATTGATCTGGATAGGACTTCCACCTCTGTGTTGACTAGGAGTGATGAGAGTGGGCACCCTTGTCTTATTCCTGATCTTAGAGGAAAAGCTTTGATCTTTCACCATTGAGTATGATGTGTGCTATGATTTTTTCATATATGGCTTGTATTATGTTTAGGCAGATTCCTTCTATTCCTATTTCGTTGAGTGTTTTTATCATGAAAGGCTGTTGAATTTTGTCAAATGCTTTTTCTGCATCAATTGAGATGATCATCTGCTTTTTTCCTTCATTCTGTTAATGTGGTGTATTACATTGATAGATTTTCTTATGTTGAGCCATCCTTGCATTCCAGGAATTAATCCTACTTGGTCATGGTATATAATCGTTTTAATAAGCTGCTGAATTTGGTTTACTACTATTTTGTTGAGGATTTTTGCATCAATGTTCATAAGGATATTGGTCTGTGATTTTCTTTTCTTGTAACATCTTTGTCTAGCTTTGTCTAGTATCAGGGTAATGCTGGCCTCAGAGAATGAGTTAGGAAGTGCTCTCTCCTCTTCAATTATATAGAAAAGTTTGAGATGGATTGGTAGTAGTTGTTCTTTAAGTGTTTAGTATAATTCACTAGTGAAGCCATCAGCTCTATGGCTTTTTGGTTTTTTTTTTTGGTCAGATTTTTGATTA